AAAAGGGCCTTCTTGGTCATTTTGGGGGTAATGCCGTGGGACTTCTTAAACTTGACATAGTTTAGGGCCTCCACATATCTTAATCTGGCCCTGGTTGTAGCAGGATCTTCTTTCCATACTTGTGATAAAACTCTTTTTAAAAACCCCTCAGCCAACTGCTTATTAAATAGCTTGAGATGTGCATGGCACTGCAGCTGAACACCTCTGTTGCTTGTGAAACTCCTTGTATTGTTTTCTTGAACATGACATCCAGATACTGGCTTCACGATAGATGAAACGGAGGAAGATTTTGGCGTATGGCAAGTGAAAGCCATGGTGGCCATAATTTTCAACATGCTTTCAGATACATGTGGTAAGTGAAGTCCTGGACATGTGGTAAGTGAAGTCCTGGGGGGAAAACCAGAGGGTGGAGGAGGGGCTCGTTTTCCCAAAGGTTTGAAAAAACTGGGAAATTTGGGGGAGTGCTGGAAGAGACGTTGAGATTAGTGAAATGCTTTACATGATTTTTTAATCATTCAAAATGTATTGCATGGAAACTTGAAGATCATTTTTTCCAGTTTTTCCAATGGAAGTGGACTGCTAACAGAATCTCCTGTGAAGCTTTTTTTTCTTTTCGGAATGAGTGAAATGCTTTCTAAGACAAGGTTTTCCTCAATCAACTAGCATGAAAAGGTGTGATCCCCCCCCCCCAAAAAAAAACAAACCTGGGGAATTTAGAGAAACATTGGAAACATTCCTTTGGAATATATTTTCTTCTTTTGGAATGAGTGAAGTATGCAAATATAGCACAGGGTGCAACAATTTGCAGCTCTCTCTTGCTAGAGTATTTGATATATGTACAGTTTTGCTTGTAAAAATAAGGCACTTATACTCTTGAATTCCATGAACATGGAGATTAATACAATTTTCTATGTTAACCAAGTTGTAAATAATGCGTTTTATATTGTCGAAGCAGCAAAATGGGTTTGATAGGACAGTAAATATTGTACATATTTAAATTTCCTTCCAAATGTTTTTTCCCCCTATGGCTTCAAAATTCCTGGAAACGTTTCCTTTATAGTAAGTGAAAATTCTTCTGTTGGTGTGTGATACTTTCCTGTTAGGAGCACATTCTTTGTATCAGTCAGTAAATGACATTTCCATGTTCATGATTCCATTTTACCTTTCCATCCCAGTTGCAGATCAGACGTTTACTGATCCGGAGACTGTGAAATACAAATATGAAACGGGACCCTGGTAAGTTGCTTTCTCACAGAGCAGCTATCAGACATGACAGGGGGGCCAAAGCTTCCCTTCCCCTTTCTTCTCCAATTGAAAGGGACTCTTGTTCAGACGTGCTTTAGGTGTGGAGGGTGTTGCAGGCACTCGGGTCTCGAACTGTTTATGTATTGAAAAACCGAAAATAAACTTTACCAAAAAAAAGATGTTTGAGAGCCGCAAAACATGAACAAATATTACATGTTTTTACTGGGAAATATGCAAATTTGCTTTTTAGTAACATTAAATAAGACTTCCAAAAATAATAACAAAAGCGGTAAAAGCAGATATTGATAATGATATTTATTTGCCCAATGATATTTGTTTGCTAATGATACTTAGCTTCCCCAGCTGCCCTGCCAGGAGCCGCACAATATGTGTGAAAGAGCCGCATGTGGCTCCTGAGCCACAGTTTGGCCACCCCTGAGCTAGATGAAGCCGTCATCTGTCCTGGCCGAGGCCCCTTCCTGTGGAATCCCCGTAGGGTTGCCACCCTCCAGCGGGGGCCTAGTTTTCTCCCAGAGATAGAATTCATCTCCAGCTTACAGAAATCCATTCCCCTGGAGGAAAGGGCACCTTCTGAGGGTAGACTCTGTGGAATCACATCCCTGCTGAGTGCTTTCCCAAGCTCCGCCTTCCCCAAGCTCCACCCCCAAATCTCTAGGAATTCCAATAGCTGGAGCTGCCAACCCTAGGTCAGTTGCCCCAGATTTCTTTTTACTTTCCCCCCTTATGATGGCAGAGAGGTCGTAAAGGGGGGGAAATGAGGCAGCAATTTGAAATGAGGATGCTGACGTCTCCCAACCTTTGATGCAGAAGTGAGTCTGCTTGGAAGGGAGCCACTGGGGGTGTGGATTATGGCATACCGTGAATGCTGCAGCATCCTCCTTAGCCGTGTTCTCCCGTTTATGCTTTCAGCACTGCTTCTATCCTGCCCTCCCCCAGCTTTACAAGTGATCTGGGGGCAGCCCCATATTTCTAAGACTTGTGCCTGCTGCCATTGCCATTGCATGCAGTGGGTGGGTGTTTGAACAGGGTGTGTGTGTGCACCTATCTTAAGAAGTGGCTAAGAGGACCTGGTGGGACGGAGGCAAAGTCAAAAGGTTTGCTTTTATCCTTCCCACATGTGTATCTTCTGGAGCAAATGGCTGCTTTGGGAGGTGGACTGTGTAGCATTATACCCTACCGAGGTTCCTCCTCTCCCTAAACCCCACCCTCCCAAGGTTTAGATTATATTTAATTGTTCACACAGGTTATGTCTCATAAGCACTGGAATCCCCAAAGAATTGAGTTGGCAAAAAGACCTTTCTCCTGTGTACCTAGACAGCCGCTGTCAGTCTGAAAACATAGACGGTGCTAAGCTAGTGGGCAGCTGTCGACTCGGTAGCCCTGTACACAAATTACAGTGTATGCATGTATAATCTCTGTGCAGAGTACACTTGATTTTTCTTTATACATTCACTGAGTAATTCTTGTATTACATACATTCAGCACTTGTACAGGTAAACATGTGATTTAAACCTCGTGTTTATCTAGCTACAGTATAAATATGTAGGTTTAAACCTACATTTTTTAGCCAATTTCATTTCATTTCGCCTCTTTCTTCCAAACAGATGTACATGCCTTCTCAGCTTCGTAGGCTCGCCTGTGTACTGATCATGCTCCTTCGATGTTTTATTAACATTGCCCCATTACCGTGCCAGGTTAAAAAGAGACAGCCCTATGCAAATGTGTTGGAAGTGCTTCCTGTTTCTCTTAGTGTGTCCCGTATTCTTTTCTTTCCAGTCCAGAGGGATGGGGAAATGCAGCAGTTTTATTTGCAAACTGCAGCTGGAAGTAATGTAAGCACTGCAAGACTCACCCGCCTAAGGCTGTGTTGTGGACAGTTTGGGGCTTGCTTGGTTCAAAGGGGGGGCCGCAGGAGATCGAGAGACAGCTCTGTGGTGGGGTGGCTCGGTGCATCATGGTGCCCTTTTGAGTTTCTCAGATGTCTCCTTCTTTGATTCCGGGGATCGCCACTTCTCACCTGAGCAGAAGTTGCTGATGGGAGTTCACACACTTGGCTGTTTCTCACTCTTCTTGTTGGCATTTTCCTGGCCATGTGTGGTTCATTGGGCTGGAATGACATGGGTGTGTGTGTGGTTGTAGTGATGTGGCTGTAGAGGTCATTGGCCTCTAGTAGGTTGACAACCCTCAGGTGTTTCAGAGGGACCTGTGGATTTCCAGCCATCTTTTCCCAGGCCCTACTTCCCGAGTTTGTGTGGGATGGTTTGCGGTTTTGTGCGTGTGCTTTAATCTACTGAGAAATATTGCGAGAATCAGTGATGTGGGACATTTATGGATTGGAAGATCTTCCTATGCAAATTGATTTTGGTAAATTCCTATAATGCTAACTTTCCCAGGAAATGTTTTGAAGTTGAAAACATTTTCAATACGCTAAATCATTTGGGGGTCCACATGTTTTAGTATGTTTAGTCAACAAAAACCCCACATAGTATGTGGTGGGAATTCCCATCAATGACGTTACTGATCAATTTTTAAAAATCCACAGAAAAATATAGCAGAAAAAATTGGAAAATATTCCCTTTTTGGAAGTTCATCTGCCCCACATCACTAAGTAGCATTACAAAATGCTGAAATTTGCCCTTTCGTAGAATTCTTTTCCTGGGGGAAAATTATAGCCTTGTATGCTGGTGAAAGTTTCTTCAAAAGGCATTGTTTTTCGGTCATCCAGAATGAGTTTAATAGCATCTATCTATCATAGCATCTATCTATCTTGTAGCAGTTTGTCATCACAAACAAGGATTTGCACATCACAGAAGACATTTGCTAATGGCATATATAATTTCCTTTGAACCAGTTCACACCTGCATATTCATGTGCGGCTATCATATATGAGGTCATCACCACACAACTGTCCTATGACAATGTCTAATTCTAACATAATGGATTGATTGTCTCTTAGGACAGTGTAGGGCCAAACTAAATGTACAATTTCTAATGATCCCGGTCCAGATTCCCAGAACCTGACTTGCTTCTGATTCTGAAAGAAATAGCAGAAAACAAGCAGCCATCCTGTGAGGGCATAAATTTGATGCCACCCCCTACTTGCTTCTGATTCTGAAAGAAATAGCAGGACACTGGAAACGCTCTCTCATAAAACAAGCAGCCATCCTGTGAGGGTGTAAATTTGATGCCACCCCCCGCCTCGCATCCTGCTTAACCATGTCCTATAAATTTAGCTCCTACTAGATTTTAAGTAGTTCCTACTAGGTTTAGCTCCTACTACACATCCTTTTTGTGTTTTTTAAGGCTGCCCATCCTCTGCTTTAATTTCTGGTATGCGCAGCAACTGCCAAATAGAATGCTTCACATTTCTGTCATCAGGAGATATTCCAGTGAGGCTTGTTAGCCAGGCCTTGAATTATGTCCCCATGGAGCAGCTCAGAAACGCTGGGTGGGAAAGTGGCTTGTTTTACCCTCTTTTTATTTTTTTCTTTTCACAGTAGTAAATCAGAAACAGTAGACAGTGAAACTGTAATACGTGCCAGAGGACTCCCTTGGCAGTCTTCCGACCAGGACATTGCTCGGTTTTTCAAAGGACTTAATATTGCCAAGTAAGAGTGCAAAATGTGCTGTTTCACTTTCAGGATCGACACTTGCTGTGCTTGCTTTTGTTATATGCCCGTCATATTTTCCATGAAAAATGTAGGGGCCATGGCTTAGTGGAAGAGCACATACTTTGTATGCAGAAGGTCTCTGGTTCTGTATCAGGCACCTTCCAATTAAGTGCTCTGAGGTGGCAGGTAAATATTAGCCAGTTTGGTGTAGTGGTTAAGTGCGCGGACTCTAATCTGGGAGAACCGGGTTTGATTCCCCACTCCTCCACTTGCACCTGGCTGGATGACCTTGGGCAAGCCATAGTTCTGACAAGAGCTTGAAAAAGAGCAGTTTCTGTCAAGAGCTCTCTCAGCCCCACCTCCCTCACAGGGTGTCTGTTGTGGAGAGGGGAAGGGAAAGGCGTTTGTAAGCCGCTCTGAGACTCCTTTGGGTAGTGAAGGGCGGGATATAAATCCAGTCTCTTCATTTTCTTCTTAGCCCATGTGGATCAAAATAGTAGTTCGACTTCATGGCCAGCCAGTTGCCCTGGAGGGCCAGCAAATGGGGGCATAGAGGCTGAGGCCTTCCCATGATATTGCCTCCTAGCACTGGTATCCAGAGGCTTACTGCCTCTAAGGTCCCCTGTGGTCACCATGGCTAGTAGCTTGGCAATATGCTTGAAAATATATTCTTCTTACCTTACTGTTCTTCTGCCTCAGAGGTCTTGAACAGACCAAAATCCAACCCTCGCCACAGTTAAATATTTAGTGGCTGCTAAGATAGTTTTCTGATCCTCATCTACAAAGAAAAACTGGACATAATCTATTGAGGATAAATACTTTGCTCTCAAGTCAGACCATATTTCACACTCCAATTATCTTTCTCGGGCTGGGACCCTGGAGAGGTGCTGGCCAGCTGAGTAGTAGACAGTGCTGACCTAGGTGGGTCAATTATCTGACTTGCTTTAAGACAACTTCACGTGTGTGCTTGAAGATGTGACAATCTTTACCGCCCACATATAAAGTCTGAGGCATTCTTTTTCATCCTATTTTCTCTCCACTCCCCAGAGGTGGCGTGGCTCTGTGTCTCAATGCCCAAGGAAGGCGGAACGGGGAAGCACTAGTCCGCTTTGTCAACTGGGGGGGGAGTGAGGACGGAGCAGCGGCTAGTGGGAAATGGGTCTCACATTTCCAAACTCCATCCGAATGTGCTATTGCCTGTGAATCAGCCTTCTCTTATGGCCAAGGGGAAAGCCACCCTGAGCTCTATAATGAGAGATTGTTAGATCTTTAAAGTAGCTCGGAATAGCACAGAGGAAGCGATCTGAGAATTATCTTTCTCGAGCTGGGACCCTGGAGAGGTGCTGGCCAGCTGAGGAGTAGACAGTGCTGACCTAGGTGGGTCAATTATCTGACTTGCTTTAAGACAACTTCACGTGTGTGCTTGAAGATGTGACAATCTTTACCGCCCATATATAAAGTCTGAGGCATTCTTTTTCATCCTATTTTCTCTCCACTCCCCAGAGGTGGCGTGGCTCTGTGTCTCAATGCCCAAGGAAGGCGGAACGGGGAAGCACTAGTCCGATTTGTCAACTCCGAACAGAGAGATTTGGCCCTGGAGAGACACAAGCACCACATGGGGAGCAGGTACATAGAGGTACGTTGCTGGCAAAAGGTCTGGATTAAGGTCTCTGAGGGCTGCATCCAAAAGCCAAGCCAGAGGGTTGCAAGTGACTCAACATATTTATCTGTGGGCAGCCCACGTTGTGTGTAGCTATTTTAACTATCCAGCAATAATGTTGCCTGCAGCAGCACATTGTAAAATAACCAAAATCAGCAGAAAAATACAAAGAAGTCATTGCGGTAAAAATCAAGGCATAATCTGTGTCCCCATAAAAAGCAGGCCAGACCAGAAGCAATATTACCCTATATGGCCATGAAATAGGTGGAACACCTACAATTATCCAGTAATAACATAATTAAGGAGTGATAAAGAACTCAAAATCCTGGGCAAATGAAAATGCCTAAAAAGCCAGATGGATGGGTGAATAATTAACAGGTAAGAAGAAGAATAGATGTCAGGTGAACTTTCAGGGGAGCAGTTGTCTCCAAATAAGGTGCCACCACTAAAAAGCACAGTCTCTGATGGCCACCTGCCTCCCTTCCAGGGAGTTTAGGATGAAGATCTGAACTGGTAAAAAGGACAGCAAGGGAGGAGGCTGTTCTTCAGGTACCCAGGTCCTATGTTGGAAGAAAGGCAGGGTCTAAATGCAAGAAGCAATCACCCGTATCCAGAAAGGAATATTCAGAAGTGGTGTTACATTTGTATTTGGGTTTAATAAAACGAATAGTCAAGCTAACAGTGTTTGCTCTTTTTCTGTTTCAGGTTTACAAAGCGACAGGGGAAGAGTTTCTAAAGATAGCTGGAGGTGAGGAGAAGTAGCATTTCATCATTGCGAATTTGCTATTCTTAACTGCATTTGATGAGCGAAACAGCTCCGTTTAAAATGCATAGCTGATTAATATGATCAGTCTGACGGCAGCTATGCAATGTAATGAGTTTTGCAAAGGAACAAGCCAAAGGCCGTCCCCGCCTTAAGGCGCTTGCATCTCAATATATTTGAGCATTTAGGTATGCCAGCTTTTGCTTGCTGAAATCAGAAACTGTAGTTTAAAAGTGGGCTCTCCATCCTTCTTTGAAAGGCTATTCAGAAACATGTAGATAACTGATTTGGATGTACAGCCAACTGTGTGTGTGTGTGCGTCACTGTGAAACAAGGAGAGAGAGGGGAGGAGGGAATCATGTGGGACTGAGGTTCAGATCTGTTATACTGCAGCCAAGCTGCTCTTTAACTTGGCAGAGGATATAAATGAAATGAGATATGTCTCTGTGTCAAAAAAGCATTTTTGAAATAATTCACCCAGAATGACCTTTGTGGATCCCCCACAAATTCTGCCTTGTTTTCATTCTCCTAGCTGAGAGGGCAAGTAATTGAATTCTCCCCATGCTTTTTCTAACAAGGTACCTCCAATGAAGTAGCCCAGTTCCTATCCAAGGAGAATCAGGTCATCATCCGGATGCGAGGGCTTCCGTTCACAGCCACCCCTGAGGACGTCTTGGGCTTCCTGGGGCCTGAGTGCCCTGTCACGGGCGGGAAGGAGGGGCTTCTCTTTGTCAAGTACCCGGATGGCAGGCCCACGGGCGACGCCTTTGTCCTGTTTGCCTGTGAAGAGTATGCACAGAATGCACTTAAAAAGCACAAGGAGATTCTTGGCAAGCGCTACATTGAACTCTTCAGGAGCACAGCGGCTGAAGTCCAGCAGGTTGTAACCATTTGGGTCTTTTTCACACATTGTTTCTTGCTTGTCATTTGTGGGTAGTTGCCACAGGGGACTTGAGTGTAGATCAAAGCGTATCCTGGCATTTAAGGGCAGGTTCCGCCTGTAAAGCAAAGAGCCCATTCACAACTTGTGAGCTTGTGGCTACCAGTTCCAGGTCAATTGGCCAAAGAGTTTTCGGAACAGTCGGTTGTGGACCATGGCTGTCTCTCAGTTGGGTTTTGCGAAACAATTCCAGTAATGCTGTGAAACTACCCTGAGGGTCGAATCAAATGAGATGCTGATACTTCTGTGATCTGCAACCTGTATGTTTCCCCAGCAGGGCGAATACCGACTCCCTGGCTCTGTTTAAGTGATGCTTACATCCTCTCACTGGGCTCTCAATCAGAATTGGGCTGCTGTGTGCTTAATAATTGCATTAACTATTATTTCCCCCAAAAAAAACCCCAACAACAACCCTGGGTGGTGCAGCCATGGAACTTCATTCATCCTGTCTGGTTTGGCCTTGGGATCTCTGAGGTTCTACTGTTAGAAAAGAGGAGCCTTGATTCTCAGTGGCTGATGTAGCCAGTGGCAGAGGGCCCATTTTGGCTCAGAGTGCATCCTTTCACATTGTCCCATGGAAAGGAATGCTACCTATTCATTCCTATGAAGGAAACAGCGCTGGAGTAGGAAGGCCATGACTTTTATCCTCTCCTTCTTGTGCCATGGTAAGCTTGGAGCCAGGGAGGAGAGCAGGGGATTTTCTCTGGCTTCACTCTGTGCTTTGGAAATGCACATGGGGCCTCTGGCGCTCAGCATGAGTTTAGAAATCGGCCCCTACTGCTCCCCCTAAAGATGGAGGAAGGACGTGGTTGTGGTGGCCATAAACTCAGGCCAGCCCAAAGTCTGTTCCTCTGAAAAATGAAGTCTTGATGTTGGGATGCACTTGCAGTGAGGGTGCAACTAGCTGTGACCATGCCTGGCAAGGGTGAAGTTTGGGAAGGGGGCTCAGCAGAGATGTGATACCCGAGAGTCCACACTCTGAAGCTTCCATTTTCTCCAGAGGAACTGAGCCCTGTTGTCTGGAGGTCAGTCGTAATTCTGGGAGTTCTCCAGACCCCACCTGGAGGCTGGCAACCCTATGTGGCAGGCAGACACCTGCACATGGGTCCTTGGACATGAGCCAGTGGGTAAAGGGATGTAGTGCCACTGAGTTGCCACCCTCACCCCCCCCCCATCCTGTTGTGGCTTGGAGGGCCTCTTTCCCCACAAATGCCCAAGATGGTCATTTTGCTGACCTGTAATAATTATTATGAATTGCTTTTGGTTAAAAGCTTCCGTGGTGCTATTGAGGAGTAGACTGTTCCTGTTTGTTTCCCTGTGCCTGAAAAGGTGGCTTCTCTGTCCCCACAGCTCCACAGGAATGGAGTGTTGTGCTTTTTGCTTTGCCCCATGCAGATGCCCAGTTATCGTCACTAATAAAAAGCTCTTCCTCCTACTGGTCAGGGAGGGGTCATGGTTCAGCGTTAGAGCATCCGCTTAGCATCTGAAAGGTCCCAAGTTCAATCCCCAACATCTCCCAGTTAAAAGGATCAGATAGCAGGGGGTGTGAAAGACTTCTGCCTGGAGTCAGAATAGACAAGGATGGCTTTGATAGGCCAGGGTCACAACTGGGTATAAGGCAACTTCATCATTGTTCCCATGTGTCTGCTCAGTCTACCTAACAGGAAAGCCAATTTTGTAGTCCATCCGTAGCCTCCGAAGCAGCCATTTTTTCCAGGGAAACTGATCCTGGTCATCTGCAGAGCAATTGTTATAGCAAGATATCTTTAGGTGCCACCTGGAGGTTGGCATCCCCACATCCACATGTGAAACCACATACATCCTACCTGTACATGTGTACATCTCTTTGTAAGAAAGAGCCAGTGGACATTCACTTTAGAAATGAAATGAAACTGAGGACTAGTACCTGAACAAATGTAGGGTTTCAGTCACACATTCAGATGTACATGGGTTGACTGTCACATGAGAATTAGGGTCACCAGCCCTGCCCCCAACAGCCATGACGTCCCCAATGTGAGGACGTCACGCGATGACGCTCTGGTATTTTTGCCAAAAATCTACGGTAATCACAGAGTTTTGCCCAAAATACCAGACTGTTACTGTGCAACATCCCCATCATGATGACATCACTTCCGTGTAATGTCATCACGTCAGGGACATCGAGCGGGGCGACATCACCCTGCCCCCCCCACACTCCCAGAATGCTTTCTCCCACCCACCCCGCCAGTGAGCAGGTGAGACCTGGCAAATGTAGAATTACTCAATGCATGTACAGAGAACTATCAAGTGTCACTGTACACAGATTGAATGTACATTCATTGTAAACTTGTGAACGGGATTTGTGGGGAGGGTGGAAGAGATTGTAGCTTTCTTGGGCTGAAGCTTCCCAAACGGATAAGCTGCAGGTCAAGCGGGCGTGTGTGACTGCTTCCACTGCGCTTGCCCCTGTTAATCACCGGCCTTCCCTCTCCCCCCTCCCTGGCTCCCTCTCCCTCATCCTCTGTAATTAGTTTTTGAACAATGGGTCCCCACGGGCAGCCGCTCTGCCTCCAATTATCTCTGTCTGGTTTCTGTCTGTTGGGAGGGACAGGGCAGGGCACTGCTGCAGAGAAAATCCCCCGGGGACCTGGAAGGCACAGCTAGAGGCAGAAGAGAAGGCAACAGGAGATGTCCCTGAGCTTGTTGTTTATTATTAGATGGGGGGAGGTCCCTTTGTCTGGAAGCAGGAGCTGGTTCTCTGTTGTTTCTAAAGAATTGGTAGTGATGCTTTGTCACTACCAGTTCTCGTAGGGGTGCCAACCTCCTGGTGGGGCCTGGAGGTCTTGTGGAATTACAACTGATCTGCAGATCACAGGCATCAGTTCCCTCAGAGAAAAATGGTTGCTTTGGAGGATGGAATGTGGAGTTTCCATTAAAAAACAGGCAGCCGTGTTGCTCTGTGTGTTCTACTAAGACCAAAAACACAAATCCATCACACATTGTGTATTGCGCTGTTTTAGCTTTAGTTAAAAAAAAAAATTGTGTGGCGTTTCAGTGTTGCCAAGACCAAAATAGCACAGCAGTGTGCCAAGTGCGTTGATGTGTTTGTGGTTTGGGTCTTAATAAAAAAGAGCTGTGTGGATTTTGAATGTTGCTCAGACCAACCAAAATAATAACACAACCCACATTTTGCATACTGTGTTGCGTTGTTCTGAGGTAGTCTTAATGAAAGGTCTCATGTGGCTCTTTGTTCTTGGATTTTCCTTCTGGGTTTTGTTAACACAAAGTGGGTTATCTGAGAGTGCTGATCCAGGAAGTGGTTCTAGTTAGCATTGAGGTGGGATTGTGGGACCTCTTCTGGAACCTCTTTGACAGAATTATTTTTAAAATGTTTAAAAGTTCACGAGTTTTCAGTATACAGATCAAAAACTTCATCTCCCTCTTGAGAGTTCTGGCACCTCTTTTCCAAAAAAACAATAAAAGTCCATTTTGTATTTAATCTCGTGCTGGCCTCTGTAATAAATAATTCAGTTCAGTGAATCAAGGGCTGATGTCATGTGGGTTGGAGGTGTGGGGATAGCCAGCCACTGAGCATGGTGCAACTCCTCACACAAGCGGAGCCTCCTCCGTCCCCAACTTTCCAGGGATTTCCCAACCCGGAGCTGGCAACCTTATTTATCTCCCCCTACAGGGGCTGTGGTAGCTCAAGTGGTTAAGCTACTGAGCTGCAGACTGGAAGGTCTGTAGTTCAGCAGTTTGAGACCCGAGTGCCGCATGACGGAGTGAGCTCCCATTTCTGATCCCAGCTCCTGCCAACCTAGCAGTTCGAAAGCAAGAAATTGCAAGTAGATAAATAGGTACTGATTCGGTGGGAAGGTAACAGTGTTCGTGCACCTCGGCATCTAGTCATGCCGGCCACATGACCATGGAAACGTCTTTGGACAGCGCTGGCTCTTCGGCTTGGAAACAGAGATGAGCACCGCGTCCCTAGAGTCGGATTTGACTGGCTTTCGAGCAAAGGAAACCTTTACCTTTATCTTTACAGTTTCTCACAGGGTCTCATTCTACTCCCCCTCTAGCTTTCTTTCGAGCAGGAACTCCTGGACTACAGTTGGGGAACTGCTCTCTATCCTAAGCCCAACTGTTAAAAAATTCAACTCCTCCATTGGGCTTTGGATTAATTTGCTTTTTACCAGCAAGTCTGAAGGCTGCTTTATATGACGGCTTTAGCATCTTGGGCAGCTGGTTTTATTTCAGTTCGGTTTATACGGCTCATCACATCCTGAGAATTTATGGCAGGAACTGCCACTCCTTATGAAAGACAGATTTATTTGTCCTTGAAAATATAATTATTCCTTTTCTATTATTTTAAAATTGTTAGCCCACAAGCGGTTTGGGAACCTGTGGGGCAGGTAAGCAACAATATAAAATCTAATAACGACAAAATCCAGGGCAGTTTAAAAAATGTTTTAGAACATGAGAGCCAAACAAGCTTCCTGCTGTCAAATCAGTGGAACGCAGCTAAAACAAAAATCCGTTCTTGAAGTGTGCATGTTTGGGGACCAATGACACACAGAAATGGAATGGGTCAACACTGTTGGCAAAATGCCTGTGCAAACAGCATTGGTTTACCTGGTGCCTGAAATGAGGAAGGCCAGGTACCAGGAGAGCAGCCATGGAGAAGGGCCTGGGGTTGCCAGATCCAGGTTGGGAAACTCCTGGAGATTTGGGGATGGAGCCTGGGGAGGACAGGGACCTCAGTGGGGGTACAGTGCCACAGAGTCCACCCTCCAAAGCATCCATTTTCTACAGAGGAACTGAACTTTTTGTAGCCTGAAGATGAGTTGTAATTCCAGGGGATCCCCGGGTCCCACCTGAAGGCTGGCATCCCAAAGATGACTCACTAGGAAAAAGGGTTCTTTCTGGTTCTTCACCTTCTAAGTGAAATGAAATAGAGATAAATAGGATTGGCTTTCAAATTGTCCATTGGGATCTACAGATCTATATGTATATAAAATAGGCCAATTGCAAATGACTTGTAGTGGGCACTTGTCCCTGCTTTCTGACCATTCTCTGGATGTGTTCTGACTGCAGGTCCCATCCTGCGAAAACTGATGTTTTCTCTTTCTTTCTCTCTCTCTCTCCCCTCCACCCTCAACCCCTTTGCCAACAGGTCCTTAACAGATACATGTCAACACCTCTGATTCCCACACTCCCTGCTCCCATAATTCCTGTCATACCACCTCCTTACACCATCGCTGCTGGAAGCATGCGAGACTGTGTCCGACTCCGAGGCCTGCCATATACCGCTGGAATCGATGACATCCTGGAGTTCATGGGAGACGCCACTGCGGATATCAAGCCACACGGAGTCCACATGGTCCTTAATCAGCAAGTATGGGAGCTCAAACAAGATGATGCAGTAAAGAATAGAGCAGGGTGACTGGAATTTGGCCTTCTGAAAAATAATCCATCTCCCAAACAGTGTTCCCTCTAAGCTGAGTTAGTGTGAGCTAGCTCATAATTTTTTAGCCTCTGGTTCACACATTTTTGTCTTAGCTCAGGAAGGATGGCTCCAGAGCAAACTATGCATTAGCCAAATCGCTCGCTAACAACTTGAATGCCAGTAGTTCACAAAGTAGAATTTTTGCTCACAAGACTCCACAGTTTGGAGGGAGCATTGCTCCCAAACTTCCCTTTAAGGACAGATTGCTAATAAAAACTAGGGCTTTATTAGGACCCTTTCTATTTGGATTTATGTCTTTATTTATATCTGACTTTTCTCCCCAACGGGAACCCAAAGCGGCTTCTCTGACAATAACAAACCTGTGAGATTGGTTGATCTGAGAGAATGGGAGTAAGGATTCGCACTCAGGATTCCCAGGATCCTTACCCAACACTTTATCCACTACACTGTGCCCATTCTCTCTTTGGTCAGCCCTGTAACTCTCATTGCTGAGCTTGTGTCTCAGCAGTGGCAAAGTACTGGGTTTTAGGTCTGTAGGCAGCTTGTGGGGCTTGAACCAGGAACCTTGTGTGCGGCAAACACTAGTTCCCTACTCCTTGTGACCACGCACTGGTCAAAGGAGCTACTGCAGGCAGCTCAATCCAGGTGCAGAATGTTTGTGGTCCTTGAAATTGGATCACTCTGAAGAACCAGTTTTGTGCCTGTTCCCAGGTCGGTGCTGCTGTCTCAGTCTAGGAAACTTTGTTGTTGAGGGAAGCCACTAGGCTGTCTGTCTGTGCATCTTGTTTGGTCTCCACCCAGTTACTTGCCAGCCCTTAAGTCATTGGGTAATGAGACGTCGCATGTCCTTGGACCTGGGTGTTTGATGCATTATCACACAGTCTTTGCCTGTGTGGAGTACCGGGGCCATAGGCTGGTAGAAATTATGGGAATTCTTGTGAGGCATATTACACAGATGGCCTGGCCAATCTGGAGAAATTATGGGAATTCTTGTGAGGCATATTACACAGATGGCCTGGCCAGTCTGGGGTGCAACCCCAGAGGTTAAGCATTTAAATTCTTTTTTTTTATCACTCTCAGATTAGGCAACTGACAGGAGACCTCCAGGGGGGAGAGGGCTAGCTGGCAAAGCCATGACGTTGTCTGTTAACACAGTGACATCACTTCTGGTTTGAGCCACAAGTGATGTCATTGCGTAGGGGGAACTGCAGTAGCGTTCTTCCCAAACTCTGTTGTTCAACCATAAAACCATAAAGTTTTGGGTGAATGCTAGAGCATCGCCCAATGTGATGCTGTCCCTTCCTGGCATTTCTGGGAACACTGATTGCCTCCCATTTTCTCTAGAATTTTTCCCTTGTTGCCTGTCTGCATGGTGGCAGAGAGAGCTGCCATGGGGCAGGAGGACTCCCTCTGAAGCAGAATACCTGGCATCCCTGCCTCTGATTCTGACCACATGGGTGATCCGAATGCTCATTAACTAGATAAAAACTCCCATTTGAAAAACAAGCATCAAAAGTGATTGGAGTGGAGAAAGAAACAGATAGACAAAGCAGGGTATCTTTATTTCATACATTGCTCTCCCAGCTTTGTACACAAATGCAGTCAAGATAGTGTATAGAAACATATCCCTTTGTGTAAGGTTTTACGTATTGAAAAATAGATCTGAAACATAGCAGTGAGCAGAAACCAAAGCAGTAAGGTAAAGCAATTCATGTTCTCTGAGCACAGAAATTATATCTACACCGACATGTCTGCATCTCAAGTCAAAGACCAGCATCCACTTATTAAGCACCAAAATCACAAGAGAGCAGTACCATCTTCACCTGGTACTGAGAAGGTAATAAGGCAAGTGTTAGGCTGACCTCCTTGGGTGAAGGATTGGGTTACCGGGGCTCTTGATAGAGTACGAGAGCCAGGCCTCTGCCCCAGCGAGGTTGCAATCAAAGGAAACAACAAAGGGAGTGGAAGGAGATAGGGTTAGGGGAGCAGTGAAGTGGGGAATAATCTGCCCTAGTGCAGGTGTGCTTAGACTTGGAAGACTTGGTTCAGATCCTTGCTTAGTCATGAAGGTCACTGGGTAGCCTTGGGGCAGTTGCTCGCTCGCTCTTGGCTAAACCTACCTCACAAGCTGTTGAGAAGATACAAGAATCATGTATGGTGCCCTGAGCTCTCTGGAGGATGGGTAGAGTGAAAAATTTGACTGATAGTGGTGTTAGGATTACAAGCTCATTCTGGGACTCCTGCCTCCATTTCTGCAATTCCCGTTTCTGTTCTTCAGGGCCGGCCGTCTGGCGATGCTTTTATCCAGATGAAATCTTCAGACCGGGCTTTCCTGGTGGCTCAGAAGTGCCACAAGAAGATGATGAAGGACCGTTACGTGGAAGTCTTCCAGTGTTCAGGAGAGGAGATGAATTTTGTTTTAATGGGTGGCACTTTAAATCGTAGTGGCTTGTCTCCACCCCCGTGTAAGTTACCATGTAAGTCTCCGGTTCTTCCGCTCTCTCTGCTGCTAACACCTTCGTGCCTGGTAGGTGCTGATGCACTGTGGTCCCCTTGCCCCTCTTTTGCGATGATCCGTAATCGTCCCCCTGGGTTTGGATGGAATTGGTTGCTTGAGCAACCGCTGGTGTGATTGGAAGCGCTTTTTATTAAGGGCGAATCAGTGCTCCAGGCAGGGCAGGGGGCACCCGCTGATTTCTCCCTGGCTTACCAGTTAATTCAGATTAATGCTTGCAGCCCTCATCTTCACTGTTTTCAAGGATAGAGAAGTAGAGTTGTCCTGTGCGCACGCACACAAGTTCTCATATTATCACTCACTCTGCTTCTGTTTTGGGTAAACCCACCCCCCAGTTCTGCAGTAAACTTCACCTGCTTGGCTATGGATTTTTAATTTTTGCTCTAATGGGAAATGCCTGTCTTTTGGGGATTGCTTGTTGTCCAAGGCGGCATCTCCTGAGACAAATGCTACCAGATCGAGAAAAGAATAATGAAACCAGATTGATTTTTTTGCCATCTTGTTGTCAGTTTCATTGTGCACTGAATGACAAAATCTCTGGTTTTGGGGGTAGACTATAAAAGAGTGGTTTGAGAGCTGGACTTTTACAGCAGACCCCAGTCTTCCACTCTTGATTATCTATTTATCAGCTGTGTTTAAGGGATGCAACACTTAAAAGTGAGGAGGAAGAGCCTCTCAAAGAGGATGTACTTCCTGTTGCTGGGGTAGCGGTTGCTGTGCAGACATCACAGTCACTGTCCTGGCAGAGCTGATCCTGCTGAGACAGCTGTTGATACCTCCATTGCCTTCATTTAAATCATCCTCTGGAGACAGAGTAAATGCAAAATAAATAGCAAGAGGACAGACCAGATCTTGTAACTAAATTAGTTGGAAGTTCTCTTTTAAAAGATGCTTGCATGTCGCTTGGGCTACTAGCAGAAAGAGTCCACTCTTGTTAAAGTTACAACCATGAGGTCTAGAAACCTGGCCCCATGAACAGAGTTTTGCTTAAGCTTAAGTCAGTGGCAGAACAATAAATCAAGCTGCAGTCATTTGCAGAAGCAGCAACAAGATCAAAGGCTTGCAAGTAAACTTTCCCCCCTATTCTGGTAGCTAAAAGAATGTCAGGTTGACTTCTTGAAATCTGCATGGAGTTCCACCGCTGGAAAAGCCCCTGGTCTCCACCCCATCACTCTTCGGCTAATTTCTGAGAGTGGGATACCCACAGAAGAACCTCAGGAGGGATAGCTCAGGTGAAGCAGCTTAGTATGCAGAGGTGGAACTCTTACTTTCTAATCCACGTGCCCCTCCCCTACCACAGTTCTGAACAAAACCCATCGGTGCTGAGGCTCCTGGCTAGGACTCCAAATTGATAACTGGGGAGGGGCAACACTAATCTGGTTGAGGAGGGGGCTTCCGTCCACCTGCATTCTCTTTAAGGCTGCACCCACAAGTCCTCGGCTCTTGCACTGTTATAGCCATAATTTGTGGCTGGGTGGTCCAGTCTACCCAGGAAGATCCCGTTCCATATGAGAGTGTTGAGCCATTTCCAGCAATGTGTGGCCGATGCCCTTGCTTGTGACCTGCTGCTGTGATGAAACAAATAACACCCCCCCCCCAAAAAAAGGCACAAGCCTTGCTAACTTTCTGGGTGTCCTTTCTCCTTTTCTTTCTCCACTGTGCTGTGACTTCTCCTTAGGTCTTTCACCACCAGCCTACACCGCTTTCCAGACGGCGGCAGCAGCCATGATCCCAGCAGAAGCAGCAATATACCAGTCGCAAGCGCTCTTACCCCCCAGCAGGACTCAACAGGCTTCAGCTGCTGCTGCCGCCGCTGCTGCCGCCGCCACTCCAGCTGTTACTTACTACCCGGCTCAGGCTGCTCAACTTTATATGAACTACACAGCTTACTATCCCAGGTAATACCCGGTTGCCCTGACCCAGAGAGCCCAGGCTAGCCCGGTCTTGTTAGATCTTGGGAGCTAAGCAGGGTCGACCCTGGCAAGTGTTTGGATGGGAGACCCCCAAGGAATACCAGGGTCGTCGTGACACAGAGGCAGGCAATGGCAAACCACCTCTGAACGACTCTTGCCATGAAAACCCTGTGGGGACACCATAAGTCATATATGTAATTCTGTATAAGGAAGAAACGTATGTAAAACTATAAAATAATTTTTTTTTTTTTTAAGTCAGCGGTGACTTAACAGCAAAAAAGAACACAACACACACACACACCCAAGTTAGGATTCTTTGGCTGGGGCCCAGGGGTCCTTTCCTGCAGGAGCGCACAGGAGTGGAGCTCCGGCACTAAAGAGCCCAGGGGGCGGGCACATG